TCGTATAAAGTAGAATTACACTCGTTCCCGCGAGAAGCCTACATGCATTGATCAGCCTTGGAATATTTCGAGCGATATTTTACACGGAAAATGGCTGGATAGATGCAAGTGCGAGATTGAAGGGAATATGCGGTGAGTACGAGAACGGAGCCACTAAAATACAAACGAAGAAAAGTAATAAGGATTTTTTAGCAAAAATGCGTCGCCGCATCGCACTGTTGGCATTCGGCCAATAAGTCCTGCTACGATCACCAATCAGTCTACGCTTTTCCAATTCTTCTATCTACTCTCGCCGATCCTTATCTTGGCTTTGTGTCCCCCCCCCCCCCCCACCCCCCCCCCCCCCCCCCCCCCCCCTCTTTCGCCCCCCTCTCTCACTCTCTCTCTCTCTCTCTCTCTCTCTCTCGTCAATCTTACGCCGATCCAAACGGAGAAATATACATTTTCATGCAGAAATTCTGGAGACTAGTGGCACGTAAGGCCAATTCAAGCACTTTTTTCACATTGCGCTAATGAAACGCTCTTTCCTCTCTATTAAATAATTCACATTTCTTCGTCCTCGGATAAGAATGTATTCAATGAAAGCCGAAGCATTTACTTTCGATTGAATGTAATAAAATGGAGAATAAAAAGCGTATATGAAAACAGAATAATTTCGCAATTAATAATTTAACTTTACTTTACTAGCTACTTTACTAACTTTCTAAGTTGTTACAATTTTATATTATATGAATGAGAACCGACTTTCACTTTCGTGATTATACTTCCCTATAAAATCTATAAGAACGGAGCTTTTTGTTTTAAGCGCAGTTAAGTTGTCGAGAGAAATTTCGCATGTTAAGTAATTTTTATTGATGAAGCTATACGTATTTATTAATTATTAAAAAAAAAAAAAAAAAAAAAAATAATTAAATAAACAAAGAAAAGAAAAAAGAACGCAATACAAAGCTGAGTATAGGCAAAACAAACATAGATAAGAGAAATAAGGATAGGAAGAAAAGGACGTTGTATTTTTATATAGATCAGTGTTATTCAATATTGAATACACTTTATTTGCATCTGATTATAAATTTATGTAATTCAATCAATTTTATTGTTATTCAATCAATTATCAATATTATTAACATTTATAAAATATTTTAAAGGCAAAAATTGCATTGAAATTAAAATGAGTATGTTTTATTTATGTTTTATGTTTTACATGTTTGCACTTAATTACACTGCATACGTATAATAAGAATAAACTTATTTAAGAATATTTAGTTCTTAATTATGGCGAATGAAATATGTCGTTGCTAATTATTTAATAGTCGATGTAAAATAACGATGGTAATCGATCAGCTAATTAAATTAAGCAAACTCATCGATTGAGGAGTAATTTAAAATCGTTATCGATTAATTCTAAATTATAAAGCGTGTGTGCTCGTTATCCAAGTCACATTGAAATTATTAATGTTATCATTAATGAAATTGAGCGTAAAAGAATTATAAATATTTTTAAAATGATATAAATTTTTTTTTTTAGGAATCTATGTATATTTACTTGATGAAAGCCGTGATTGTAGAATAATCTTAATTATTCAGCGCTATAACCCCAATAGACATAAATGGTCGTCTGAAAAATTGAATTAGAGAAAGAGGAAAAAAAAAAAAAAAAAAAAAAAAAAAAAAAAAAAAAAAAAGAAAAAAGAAGAAAAAAGAAGAAGAAAGATGAAGGAAAAAAGTACTCGTACTAGCACGTTATTAATCAAAATAAGAGCAATGAAGATATTAAAATTTTGAATATTATCAGGTTGTTAAATGTCGTTGTAATGTGTGATCATCGGAATCGTTAAATCCCAATACTTTGACCGCCTTTGTATCTTAATATAATCAGTTGAATCTGCCTATCAGAGTTCATCTACGTGTTACTAATGGAATTTCTAGACACCTTGTTATACCCAATTGGTCTTCGTTAATAATTGTCAGATGTACTTCGTTACGTACATAAGCTGGTATTTATAGAGCAAACGATTAGGTAACGAATATTAGTCTCTTGGAGTAATTGAGAAATCTCTGTAAAAAAGAAGCAATAATACTAAAAATTCTAAAAAACAATATTAATTAATTAATTGACAGAAGTTTGATATGAATGAGGACATACTTATTTGCTTGTCTATTTATATATTATAGATTTATTTGACGTAATTGATAATGAAATAAATCCAATAGGTATGAGAAAATATTGTTTTTTATAATCATACTGCTATCGTAAACATATTTTTAACGATTATATTGAATTCTATAAATTTATGCGATCGGGCATAAATAGCAAAATCTTCATTTCCAATGAAATATTCAAATTAACTATTTCTTTAATACATATAATTAAAAATCCGTATGAGTCGAAGGAATGCCTAATGAGCATGATTTAGACGAGGGAAGGCCAGCTGTGCGAACGTTAAGAATAGATTTAAAGCGGAGAAAATAATCGTAAAATGGTATATTTTAGGGACGATAACGGACGATAACGGACGATAACGGACGATACACGAATGTTGCAGCATCTAAAAGCAATGATTCTGAACTTGAAACTTGAAGGCGACGAGTCGATACTTTCTTTCAGCGTGTCAGTCACACCTTAACTTTGTAGTTAGCTGAATAATTGTAGAGAGTTGTTTTCTTTCTGGTGGATATAATGACTGTACTTCATCGAGTATCGTTTACGTGCTTATTTATAATAAAAACTCTGAATAATATATGTGAATATATATATATATATATATATATATATATATATATACAATTGAATAGGGTGAAAATGACGATAAGAGTAACATTGACGAAATTCAACGACAAGCTTTGAATAGATTTCTAGATTCCATCAGAGAAGCCAAAAATTCTTTAAAATTTTGTAGAAATAGCGATTGTACAATATAATAAGTACAAAGAAGCATTAAAAATTTCAATCGGTATAATTCTAGTTGATATAATACTTATCGAATTTGTTTTATTTACGAAAGAGGCTTAAACGTTACGCTGATACTCTACGGTCATTACTTTTTATGCAATTAAATTTAAATTTAGCCATTTTATAAACTTGATAAATAGTCGAAAACTGTGAAGTCTATGACGCTCAATACGAAATGTTTCATAACCTTACATTTATTAAGCTTAACGCTACTCTTAATATTCATTATTTTTTGTTACATTCCTATAAGAGCGCTTGCAAAATTGTTTCGTTGGCCATAATTTATTCAACATTTATTTTCCTTTATTTGTTATTTTGAATATGAGACAACCTGAACTATTTATGCCAAATAAATTTTACACGCTAAAGTATATTAATGTTCGCAGTTGTTATTATGACTTGAATTGAATGCATTAAATGCAAATGCACTGTAAATACTTTCTCCGTTAGTAATGTCAACTTAAACTAATTTTCACGTAATTATTAATAATAATGTTGAACATTAATTGTCAAAGATGTTCCGAGTAAATTAATATTTTCAATGTGTAACTACATGAAATATCGTTTTACTTAAAATCTCGACACAAATGACAAGCGACATTATTAAATTTCGTAACAAATAATTGCTAATACACATTTTCACAAGCAGTTACAATTTTTCATGTAACGCTCAGTGTAGTCGGTATACAAAAAACAACATCAACAACAACAACAACTAAATAAAAAAATAAAAAAATAAAAAAAAAAAACATTAAGAAGAAAAAAACTTGATGAATAATTGTAATTCAAAATTAATGAACACAATCATACTTTACGTTTGTAAAATCGGCTAAGTTTTGATTTCCAAATGGTAGAAGAATAATTCAAATCATTAATTATTTTATAGATTATTTTATCGATACTAATAATTAATGATTCGCGTTCTATTTAACATTTTAATTTAAATTCATAATTAACAAGTTTTATGGAGATTTATATTTTTAAGTGGCAGATGAACAACGATAAAATTCAAATTCACACTTGGCCTTTAAGTTATTATCTTTCGCTTCTTAGCTTAAGGCTCAATACAAGCCGTAAGATATTATTAATAGCGTTTGACGGCTATTATAACAAGAATACAATATTAGTGCAAAATGGAATATTGCGAAATCGATGAAAGGGCAATCTATTGATGAACAGATAATTCTGGAAATGTCAATGTAGATCGATTTCGTTAGTCTATTTATTACTCATGCGCGCTTCTTCTCTCTTGATATATACATGTGCTCGATAAAAGTATACGATGCCGGTTGTAAATAAGTTTGCAAAGATATATATCAATAGCGTTACTATCGCGCCATTATAAAAATAGTTCAAGGTCGATGTAGGAAAGGCTTTGTATTTATTGTATGTATTATTCTGTAAATAAGAAAATGTTTTACCTATATAAATGAATGTGTTAGCGAAGAATTTCTCAAGCATGATATTAAAGTTTTGCGGCTAAAAATAGTACGGCATAAACTATCTTGAATTACAAAAAGAAGAAAATAATAAGAAAAAAGAAAAATGATTGTCTTAAGAGTGAAGATTAATGTTAAAGTCATTCTAATTATACATCAGATACATAATAATCACAAAGAAATTCAAGCAAAACAAAAATTTAAATTACATTTCGTCAATTGCACTTATAATTTTATTATTTTCGGCCTATTCGTTTAATGCAAACGATATTACAAATGCTTAAATAAAATGTATTTTATTTTTCGCGAACGTACAAACGGAATTGGCAATTAATTATGTTGTAAAACAATAATGATGATGATGATGATGATGATGATGATGATGATGATGATGATGATGATGATAATGATGATGATGATGATGATGATGATAATAATAATGATGATAATATCGGCATAATTGTAAATTAAATTTGGATTTGAAACATAATCTGTCCATAATGTTTTCAGTCGTTATGATGCTGGTTAAGGAAATTCAATAACTCGGATATTTATAAATTTACAAAATGGCTTTAGCAATAGAAAAATGCGTAAAGAAATATTTCAGTGCGATTTAATTGATAAGAGTAAGCCAAAAATAATATTTTATTAGCTGAAAGAAAGTGGACACGACGATGTTAGACTTGGCTCGCTACGGTTATTTCTGCTTAAACAAAACTCAATTCGAATAGATTTAAGCAGTTACAACTCGACGAACTTTCATCTTGAAAGTCAAGCTGAACAATAATGTAAGTGAAAGAGGAAAAAAGATAAACAAAAAAGCGAGTAAGAAATGTTGATTGCGTATTGGGGCAAGAAAGGAAGGAAGAAAGGCGGCTAAAGAGTAGGGAAGGATCGATCATTCGATAAACTTTAAATACTTTGTCGAAATTGCAGGGAGGCGCAGGATTGGCAGGGGACTCGCGGTGCTGAACAATGGCAGATCTGAAGAATCTCACACTCGCCACTGGCGCTGGTTCGCAGTATAATGGCGACGAGCAGGTGCAATTCGTACCTGGCGGAAGTCATCAGGTGACGATTCGCTCACCCCCGCCAACACTCCATCTTGAAAATCTCAATAATGCAGTACTCGGGTAATTATGCTTATATACGCTTCATTGCGCTAACAATCGACTTTAAGGTTCTCTTTATATACAATATACTATATTATAAGCCACTTGTCGATGAAATTTCGTGATAAAGTTCCTTTAAAAATATATTTTCGATAAACTTGCTCGCATCTCAGAACTAAGTCTCAGATTTCGTGACGTTAACTTGACCTTGAGATATATGAGGAAGGCGCGTAATTAGCCTGAGGAAAATTAAATTGGACACGATTAAAAATTGCCTCGGGATTTCCATTCGTTTATTTACAAGCATTCGTTCGTATATTTAATTCGCATATATTACCCAAAGACCATTGTCTTTTAACGATTACGAAATCGCAGTTATTTACGTTTATACAAGAGTCATGGTAAAGATCCAAAATGACACACGATCCGAGTAATTTCCTACGAAACATCAAAACAAAATAAATAGAAACTAGTTAAACCGAATGAAATAATAATCAATTATGCATCCGTGTATGCGGGTTCTTGAGTTCGAATACTCAATCAGCCTTACGATAATTCAATTTTATTATAAAAGACAATAAAGACAAAGGAGCAGCTTAGGCGAACGGAAGTGCGGTTACGAGGAACTTTTATTATTTCTTAACAACGCGAAAGACGAAAAATGTCGTCGAAAAAGTATAAATTTCCATCACCGACGATACGCGCAACTGCCAAGTTTCGCACTTTCGGTATGCGCGATCGAAGTAACGCAATTGAAGCAGAAAAAATATTAAATTAGCCACCGCTCAGATGATGATTCCGCTTCAGGCCCACGAGCCATTCTTCCTTACTTCAGCTACTTCACGAGGCTTTATTGTCTCTATATGTGTGCGCGTAAAGGGCAGAGCACTCTGAAGTGCAGTCACACGATCGATAAGAAAGATTTCCATAATCATCCAAGCCTATACCTGCACGATCCAGACGCTCTTGGCTTTATCGTGTTTCTCAGGTTGCGTTGGATGTTGAGAATTTCGCTGACTCGGTTGGGCCCAAACTTTTTCAACCACACCGAAATCATCCGACATCGCAGTTGATTAAAAGATGTCGAGTAATTTGCCGTACTCATCCCTCTCACGAGTAGTCTCACCACTTTTACTTTGCGATTAATCTCGTCGTGGCATTGGCAATCTCTTTTCAACCTCGCCAATTTCTCAAAAATGGAGCGACTTTATAATATATAGCCCAGTGAAAACCCAATCACACCGCTTCTTCGAAGCGTAAATAAAGTCCAACTTGAGATGAAGGAGTGCTAACGTATACCGTGAAAGAATGAGATAGAGTAAATATTGACGCTTAAACTTATAATCATAAGGAAGCGAGGCTGGATCGATCAGCATTAATTCTTGTTGGCGGTTGGTGATTTTCGATTGAAAATGAAGACTCGCTTAGGTGACAATACCAATGACATTGATTTTTTTAATACGCCCAGACAGACTGTACAGAGTCACTGGCTCTCTCTCTCTCTCTCTCTCTCTCTCTCTCTCTCACTCTCTCTCTCTCTCACTCACTCTCACTCTCACTCTCACTCTCACTCTCACTCTCACTCTCACTCTCACTCTCACTTCGGCGATGCATTACAGCAGATAAATGTCTTTCGCATAGCCTAACTGGCTCTTTTAATTCTATTCGATTAAATATATTTACAACTACTAAAGCGTATAATAACATTGATATTTGTATAACTGAGAAATAAATGTCGTGGGGGGGGGGGGGTAGACAGAAGGCTGGTGACGATTAGCGAATGAAAATTTATTGTTTGGTAGTGGCGTGGAAAGCAACAGACCGTTAACATCCGAAATTGAAACGTTTCTTCGGCTTTTCTCCCGATGATTTCTCGAACCACCTGATCGTCAATTGTGAATTCACTCAACTTCTAATCCGATTGTCGAGGATCGTAGAAGAGATGCGACATTTTCATTGTCGGAGAAATGGCTTTTTCAATTTTCCCGTCACACTGAATATAACCGCGAGAAAAATCTATCGAATAAACAAGTATGAGTAACAAATACTAATGCGAATTATTCACAAAGAACTCGTGAGAACGTAATAAGAGAGAAGGACAATCCTCAATTTTCAATGATTTATTGTAATCGCCTGAAACATATGGCTAATTAAAAAAAAAAAAAAATAAATACTTTTGCTTTATTTCAATAGTAACTTCGTGCAATTATATAATAATAGTTAATAATAATAATAATAATAATAATAATAATAATAATAATAATAATGATAATAATAATAATATACTTTAAGCACATATTATAAATGTTAATATCAATCGACTAATTTTTTTTTTTTTTTTTTTTTTTTCTAAATAAATAAAGGAATTTTAAAGCTATTTCAATAAAAGAAATAATATTTAACATATTCTCAGGAACAATAATACAATATCATTAAGTAATAAAGACATACGATGTTCATCAATTATTATGGTCAAATCAATTTAAAAGCTTGGACTTGAATAAGCTGAAGGATAACATTTTACAATGTTGAAAATTCATTATCGAAGATTATCGAGTTAGGAAGCATTTACAAAATAGATGATTCCTCGACTTACATATCTTTATGTAAATTATTTTAGAATAATAAATCATTATGTTGAATGAAAATCAAGCACATCCAATATATTTTTCCGATATACTTTTAATGCCACAATTTCGCCATATTCCTAACGATTTTTTCAATACATATTATTGACTCAATTATCACCTAGAATTTAACAATTAACAATTAAAAAATTCATTCGTATCAGGAAAAAGGTTAGTACTAGAAATCTAATGGTGCAAATAAAATGTATCAAAAGTATATTGATTATTCTACGATACATGACCCAATACTTTCCTAGGCGGCATATACCACCGTTAAGCAATCACGAGCCATAAAATTTAAATAAAATATTTATAAAGCTACATGACTATACCTGAAATAATAAGAAAATAATACGACTATTTTGTAATATTGCAATTACGTGTGTTTCTCTCTCTCTCTCTCTCTCTCTCTCTATGTTTATGCTATTTACAGACATGAGACGATATTAAAAGCAGATAAACTAATTTTGCAACGAGAATTGCAAAAAGTATTAGCAGAATTAATACGTAAAAGTGTCGATGGTTGTTGAAACTTGCACGACTCTTAAAGCTTTCTTAAGGAGCTTTGAAAATATTCTTTATTGTTTTTGAAAATACACATAAATTTCAAGGCTCAATTCAATGTAATTTGTCCATTAAATTTATTGACACAGCATTACAAATGCGTAGACTTTTTTTTTTTTTTTTTTTTTTTTTTGATGCTAAAGTATAAAAGCAATAGCATTAATTAGTTTTTCTGAATAATTTCCCTAAATGAAAGAGCTAAAAAATTGATAATAAATTCAAACTTTCACATACGACAAAACCTATTACACTGCTATTTTTTCCTTCGTAAAGTTAATTAACTATAGTTTTTGCAATAACTACACGAGTATTAATTGATAATATTATCTTTGTCTTAGATAATTGTATATATGCAATTTATTAAAAATCATGTATACAGTTGTGAAAAAAAAGTCTTTGTTAATTTTTTACTTCAGTGATAATGAATATTGAAATTTATTGTAAAGGAATTAATACATTTGTACTATTGTACAATCTTTTTATTTTATGAAAAAAAATCTTTCATACGTCTCACTTTTTCCGGGCATCATATTGTCGAGGATTTTTAATCAATATTGCTTAACATTTAATGCTAATAATTTTTTATTATTTACGCAAGACAATTTTAATTTAAGTTAAATTTTAATGCATATTAAATGATATTGCAATTAAATTAGTTATTATTATCAGAATGAATTCAATCCAAATTGTAGACAGCAATTTTTAAAGGCATCAGATGTAAGGACACAAAAAAAAAGTTAAACAATCAATTTAAGTATATTTAATGATATTAAATTATATTTTGTAATCATTTAATTTTATTATACAAAACTTAAATATTAAGAAAGTAATTATTATTTTATAGTAATTCTAATATTTGATTAGATGAATGATTATGATACAATTTTAGTTGATCGAAAAATTCGCTTTAAACGATTTTTCATTGATATAACGTAATGTTTTTCTATCCTATAAACGAGCTATGTAATAATTATATAAAATAGTCAAGAATTATTGAAATAATATACAATTTCCTTCGATTAAGTGTAATTTCCTTCTTCATAAGGTATTCTGATAATTCACATATCATTCACTTTGATAATTACTTTACCACCACATTGACACATTTAAGAATTTTCTGATATATTAAAGTATTATCTTTTGTAGTGATTATTTGTAAAATTATTTTATTATTATAAGCAGATATTTTGAGATGAAAAGAAAACTTTATTATTCACAGATGATTAATTGTATATTTTGCAAAAATATAGTATTTTATAATAAATCCAATAATTCAACAATCCAAATCTAGTAGAGATCAATAATTCAAAAATTTTTTTCATATTTTCTTAACTATTTTAAAACTGTAGTGATAATATACCATACAGTGCTATTACTACAATACATTTATCTATAAATATTATCACGGACAATACCATAATCACATCAACACACAGTACATTTAGAATAGAAACAACTATATCTCAACTAATATTGATCTACGCAATTATTCTCTCTGATTTTAAAGAAATGTCAATAAATTTTATATGTATTTATTTAAATCATATATAATAAATGTACATGCTCAATTATATATATATATATATATATATATATATATATATATATATATATATATACACACACGTATATTTGTAATTCATTTGTTCTGTCCATCGTGGAAGAAAAGATACACAATGTTTTATGTAGTTTATTTTTTCATTATTTGATCTTTTATTATTGTATAGAATAATACAATATGCGTAATAATACAATACGTTTGCGTTTCAAATTATCTTTATTTAATTTTTAATTAAACGATTGAAGATTATTAACTAAAACCTACATAAA